GAGGGAGGGGGGGCCGGTGGGGGCAGAGCCAGGGCGCCAGAGGGAGGGGCGGGCAGTAGGGATGGCCGCTGGACCAGAGGGGAAAGGAAGCGGCAGAGCCTGGCTGACATCCCCAGCTTCCTGCTTCTCCGAAGACATCCTCAGGGAGAAACAGACTGCAGATTCTGAGAGAAAGACACTAAGAGACTAGGACTGTGACAGGGAAGGGCGGCCACGCAGCCAGAAACCACCCCGATAGCAACAGGAAACTGGACAGAGCAGACCAGCCAGTAACACAGACACGTGAGGGGCAGACACACGCACACGTGGGCACCCCAAGTCGAACCCATGGTGTCCTGCATGAAGAGCCCACCACGCACACCCTCCCTGCCTCCCACTCGTCCCCTCGCTCCTGCGTGTGGGGTGTCTTTCAGCCTCCTCCAGGGGTCTCACAAGAGGATCGCACACCCCAAAGGCCCACCCGGACTGCCTCAGCTCCCCCGGGCTTCCAGCCTATGACCTGCCACCTGGAGGCCTTAGTAAGTGCTGGAAATACAAAAGGGAGACCAAGGTGCACCTGCACCCACACATGAGCTCATGAACAGGGCGCGCGTGAGCCGGTGGGCAAGAGAGTGAGACGCCGCAATGTGCACGCGTAAGCAAAGGCAAGGGCTGCCCTGCAGCCTCATGGGTGAGGAGCCAGGTCCCATGCAGTCAACTGTGGTTCAAATCCCAGCCCTGGCACCTTGAAAAGCACACAGGGGTGTGTGCATGTGTCCCCCAGATTTCGACAGTATAGAGAGATGGAGAAGGAACTGCTGCATGATCACACCCCACTGGGGCTGCTTTTCTCTCTCTCTCTCTCTCTCTCTCTCTCTCTCTCTGATGAGTGCACAAACCCTCCAGCAATTAAGAAAAGCAGGGACCGGTACCAGCAGTTGGCATAATGGCTATGTCACTGGACTCCCATGTAGTCGACCGCGGTTCGCGTCCCGGACCCGGTGGCTTAAAACTCATGCCGGGCGCGTGTGCGTGCGTGCCCAAGATCCCAAGAGGAGAACGGAGGAGAAGGGATCGCGGTGTGGCCATCCCCCCTGGGGGGTGATTTCTCGTTTTCTGTCTGTCTGTCTCTCTGTCTCCTTCTGTCTGTCTGGCGAGTGCACGTGCCCTATAGCAAAAACCTCTCCAGAAAAAAAAGAAAGAAAGAAAGAAAGAAAAGCAGGGACCAGCAGATAGCATAATGGTTAAGTCACTGGACTCCCACAGTCACCTGTAGTTCGAGTCCTGTACCAAGCAGCTTAAACTCATGCCTGGTATGTGTGCATGCATGCCCAAAATCCCAGAGGAGAAAGGAGGAGAAGGGACTGTGACATGGCCATCCCCCCCGGGAGTTGATTTCTTGCTGTCTCTGTCTCTCTAGCGAACATGCACACCCTGTAGCAAAAATCTCTCTTAAAAAAAAAAAAGACTGGATTTCCACTGCCATAAGAAGTGTGCTGTAATCTCAGAGGGAGGCACCCTGAGCGGGCTCTCTTCACCTAAACTGGCAAAGCCACCATCGCAGAGGTACTGGGGGGTTTCAGGGTGAGTCTGCACCCTGGAAGCTGAGGGGGCTCCATGGGGAAGGCAGGGCTGGCTGCTGCTCCCCCCCAGGGCACGCACTCACAGGCAGTGCACCACGGTGCGCCCATCGCCACTCTCCGCCTGCCACCTGTCCACCTCGGCCAGCAGGTGCAGGAAGGCCGCCCTGGAGTCAGGCGTGTCCCGGCACGCGGACCAGCGCAGGAACTGGAAGTGTCGCACCAGTAGGTGTCCCTCCTGCAGCTGGGGCAGAGCAGCCAACCTACATGTGAGCACGCGGGGCCCCAGGAACCTCAAGTCCCAGCGGCCCCAGGTCCCCACTGCAGCCCCCCCCGCCCCGCTCAGTCTCCTCTGGCCACTCACCCGAGAGAGGTTCTGCACCCGGAAGACCCGGGCCACCACGTCTTCGTCTGCCGTTCCCGACACGAACTCCACCTCCACGAGGCCGTACTGCTGCCGGCCCGGCTCGGGCCAGTATTGCAGGCAGGGCTGGGGCGGCACGGGTCAGAGAGCTGGGCCAGTAGGCCCCACCCGCCCCAGCTCACCCCTCATTGCAGTCACCTCCAACATGGCCCTCCACCCCACCCACGGGTCCACCGTGCACCCTGCCCGATGCCCCCTGCACTGGCACATGTGAGCAGCTGAGACGAGCCATCATGTTTGGCGCTCGGGCACCCACTGCCTGCGGCCAGAAATCCACACATACGTGCAAGCACGCCCCGTGCACACACGCCCCTGTACAGCTGCCATCTTCCAGGATAGGCCTCCATCTCCCGGCCCGCCCAAACCTCCTCCCCCAGCCCAACCTCTCACTGCCCCGGCCCTCAGCACCACCTCGCAGAGAGGGGGTGTCTTGGTGCTGCACTGCAGCTCAGCACCCTGGCTCCTTGTCAAGGACCCCTTCAGGGAGTCAGACCACAGACTGAGACAGTGTGGGGACGGGGATGTGCAGCAGCCAACACACACACGCACACACACACACACACACGCACACACGCCATCCTATGGGGCCACGGC